GCGGGGAGGGAGGGCAGGGGCTGAGGAGAGAAAAGGAACAGAGAAGGCGCAGAGCTGGGGTAATTCACGCTCCCCCGTAGAAGGACAGCGCCGGAGCACCCTGTCAACCTGCTCCCCCTCAGGCATAGCTGTCCAGCGCCTCTGCCTTGCAACCAGGGCTCCTGCTCAGCCATAGGCTGGCCCGGGGGGCACCTCGCTCTGCCACCCTTTTTCCTTTGCCCTGGTTGTTTCTCAGAGGATAACAGGATGGTTTCCTTCGGGGGAAGCAGGTGGGGAGGTGGGTCATGGAGCAGGGGTGCAAGGAGGCAGCCAGTGATAAGCGGTGGTTGCAGCTGCCTTCCCAGAGGACTGGTAGAACTGTGTGGGGTATGTGTGGGGCTCATCAACTCAGGGAAGCAGCAGAGATACAAGGTGGCACCCCACGTACCAAGAAAGCAGGGTGACACAAGCCCACCACATCAGGTGCCTTGTCCTGGTCAGAACCCCTCAGGACCACGCCAATGGATGTACCTGTCATCTGCATTTGGAAACAGGAGCAGTGTAAGAAGAGGTTTGGCAAGCAAGTTCCCCTTGATAGTCTTGGGAAGAGCTCATTTTTCCAAGGAGCTTTCAAGTAGCCTGGTAGCAGTGGAGAGCTGGTAGTAGGATTGGGAGTCAGCAGCAGCACACAAGGTGGGGCACACAGCAGCATGTTTCAGTCTGCTGATGCTCAGGTGCAAAGATGCAGGGACTGAGCTGTGGATGCAGAGCAAACCATGGTTTCTATGCTCTCCAAAATGAGTCTCAAGCCCCACACAGAAACCCAACTGCAGCCCTGATCACAAGAAATTCTGGAGGCTGGCCAAGGCTGAAGGGGGTAGAGCAAAGAACATTAAAGTAGTACCAGAGCATGGACAAGACCAGCCAGCTGATGGTCAGTGATCCGTCCCAAAGGGAAAGGCCCTTCAAAAGTCCTGCCCAGCTTTGCAACCATTCTAGCACCCCAGTTTAACTCAGCAAAAAGGGATCAGTGGCAGAGAGGTATATATGCAGAGAGAGCAGCATGTCTGGGCCTGACTTCAACTGTGAAGCACAGCTCTTGATCCAGGTTGGAGGTAGCCACTGAGGTTTCTTGGTGGGCCTCCGTGTGCAGCAGGTCTCGTGGGTCCTGAATCACAGAGAGAACATTGCCAGCGTACACCATCAGAATGCCTCTTGGTCCAGCTCTTGGAGCACCAACCCTGTCATCTTCCTCTAGAAGTGGTAGAGGAGTGGCTTGAGAGTGATGGAGTAGAGTTGGCTGGGCAAGGACAAGCTTAACACACCCTCCCAAGTGAAGCTTAGCAGCTAGGTCTGTACCCAGCTGAGCTTGCCCAAGCACTCTGCAGCAGTATACAGTGTCTGTAGGAACCCCAAAGAGTGGAGGTCAAAGCTACACACCCACAGTTTCCCCATGGGGTAGCTTTGATCCCTCCCAGTCAGGCACCTTCGAAACAAAGCAAAGAACAGAGTGACCCTACGTCCTGGGTGAAGCAACCCTCGACGAGATACAAGCTGTCCAAGATGCTCCAACCTCAGACCATCTAGGTCCGGTCAGGAGGGATCATGTTGCCTAGCATGGGTGCTAGTCACTGTGAGACAGCCTTCACAGTGATATTGTACTCTGTGCTGAGGAGCAACATTGGGTACCAGTCCTGTGGGGTGCAGAAATCCCCCTTCTTGGCACCAGTGATGCTCTATAAAGTGTAGTAAAATTCCATGTTAGTCCATTAATGTCTGGAGTGTTAGAAGGCATCTGAGGAAATCTGAGCTCTGCCATAGTGAGAGGGAGTTATACCTGTGGTGATCATTGGGGGCCTATTCCCACAGGCCTGGCAAGCGCTGGAATTGGTGGACTGAAGAGAGATGTCCACAAAAAATGCCTACTCGTTGTTTGCAATCTCCTCCAAAACCCTCAACATAGGTTAACCAGACCACAAGAAAAGCAACCACCAATTGGTGGAACCACACTTCTTCTAGGCCTGGTATCAGGGCATAGACATTAATCAGGTTAACAAGCAAGTCCTTCACACAGTCCTAAAGATGCAGCAGGTGATCTGGCACAACCTTGGCAACCCAAAGGACCATGGTGACCATCCTGCAGGAGCATGGCAGAATATCCTCCCTCCTGAAAGGAGGATTCCCCAAGGCTCCAGAGAAAACTCACCCTACAGTTTAGCAATGCTTATTCTGAGGTGTTTCTGAGGACTTCAGGGGCAGTGCTGCCACTTGTACCAGCAGGGGCATGGAGTGACTTGTACTCATTGCAGATGAGGAGAGGTATATAGTAGCTGTACGTTTTCTTCTTTACCTAGTTTTGCTCCTCCTGCAAATGTACAAATATGAAAACACTCAGTGTTTCTGGGTTTTATTATGACACATGCACATCTCTCCCAGTGAAATTGATATGACGCTCTATCCATTGTATTGCTGGCTTCAAATTCAGATCCGTTGGAATCACAACATATTTTTCCTGATGCTCTGTTTACCCAGCATGAATCTGAAATCCCACCCTGTCTCCCAAATGCTTTTTAGCTGGGTCCATCTGATAACACGCAC